TATATATATATGTATATAAAACAGTCTGTGGTCTGTTTAATCTCAATATCTTACTAACTGTGATTCAATATTTGCTGCATTTATTATCGTTATTGATATTATTATGGTATTGTCATTACATTATTCTCAATATTATTACTTTTTATATTTCTTTTATTATATGTATAGTACTCATTGCATATTGTGTCTCATGACACTTGTGGAATATTGCTCTTCATTTATTATCATAAAATTGTTCTTGTTAACGAAAAAGCTAAATATTGTGTGTATTTATTATATAGAATACTTTTAATATTTTGAATTTTTTATGCATGATTAATAATCAACATAAAAAACAACTGTTTAATGTAGGATGTAATGGATGTTACATCACATACATACTATATATGTACTATATTATATTGGATGATTGCATAAGTTCGTGCCCGATTTTCATAGATGGCATTAAGTTACTGCAATATTAAATATCAGGAGGAGCAATTTGGAATTATTTTACTTCAAACAAGGGAACGGGATGGATTAACGCATAATGAAATAAAAAAATAAAAATTAGAAATAATTAATCCATTCCGTTTTCTTGTTTGAAGTAAAATAATTCCAAATTGCTCCTCCTGATATTTAATATTTTATTCCTATTCCTAATATTTTCTCTATTGTGCGCAGGGCCTTAGTCTTCGAATAATTATTATACATTATAGATAAAAATGAAGATTGTCTATATATTAAATTTATGGCTCGTATTCATAGTCGGTTCTTATTTCGCGAGTGAGAGAGAACGCAAGGAGCACGGAACAGAGTTATGTCCTTTTCTACGTGCACCTTGGCCCCTACTCCTCAACACTCGGTCTAGATATACTATGTCTATGTTCAAGACCGTCTTAAGTAAAGGTGCCTTTAAATGACAACGTCGAGCGTCAAGCGTCTTGCGCAAAAACCCAATAAGTAAAGGCCATTGCACGTTCAAAAGTTTTAGTCGTAATCGTAAAGCCCGTATTAGACTACGCATTGAAGATTGAGATTCAAGATTCAAGATTGAAATTTGACCAATCAGGATAAAGAAATTTTAGTCCCTTTTGTTCTGATTAGTCAAATTTCAATCTTGAATCTTGAATCTCAATCTTCAATGCGTAGTCTGATACGGGCTTAAGACCACCGGTCTTTAATGATATCTCGTCGGTGTCTCTGCCAATAAAAGAATTTATATAGTGTTTTCGAATGTAGCAGCTCTGGGTACCAATCATGTAACTTTTTCCCTAGGACGGTAACGTGAAAAGTAAACAATAATAGCACTGAAATCAATGGCAAAATTTTTCATTTTTCACTTTTCCTTGAAAGCGATTAATAACGTCATTGCATCATCTCTACCAATAAAAGGCTCAAATTCATAGTAAAATATAATGATTAATTGATCCGGGTTGGATTAAGGGCCAATTTCACCAAGTCCGATTAGATTAACCGACGGTTAAAATTAGCAGGGTGACCAACAGAAAATAGAGGTGAGGGAAAACCAAGCATTCTTATCATTTCAGTTGGAACCCTGCTAATTTTAACCGTCGGTTAATCTAACCGAGCTTGTTGAAATTGGCCCTAACCCGTTTATTCAAAAACACTATATATCGGTGTAAACTAGGGCAGTGGCAGTAAAGATCGTATTAAGCCCATATCAGACTACGTATTGAAGAATGAAATTTGATCAATCAGGTTAAAAGGAACTAAAAGTTCATTGTCCTGATTGGTCTAGTTTCAATCTCGATGCATAGTCTGATATGGGCTTTAGACTACGCATTGAAAATGGAAAATTGAGGATTGAAGATTGGAATTTGACTAATCAGAGCCAAAGGAACTAAAATTTCTTTGTCCTAAGGCCCTGCGCACAATAGAGGAAATATTAGGAATAGGAATAAAATATTAAATATTTATATCAGGAAAAGATATTTATATCAGGAAAAGATATTTATATCAGGAAAAGCAATTTGGAATTATTTTACTTCAAACAAGGAAACGGAATGGATTAATTATTTCTAATTTTTATTTTGGATTAACGCATAATGAAATAAAAAAATAAAAATTAGAAAGCGTTAATCCATTCCGTTCCCTTGTTTGAAGTAAAATAATTCCAAATTGCTCCTCCTGATATTTAATATTTTATTCCTATTCCTAATATTTTTTTTATTGTGCGCAGGGCCTAATTGGTTAAATTCAATCATTTCAATTTTGAATCTGCAATCTCAATCTTCAATGCGTAGTGTGATACGGGTTTAAGATCGGATCTTACCATCGGTGCCAACTCAAACCGTAAAAGAAGAAGAAGAAGAATAAAAAGTTATAGAGCTTAATGTCGTTAACCGTATTTGCGAAGTAAATTCAACAGTAAAATTTTTTTTACATCTTGGATCCGTTTTATATGGAATGGTTTTAATACAAAATCCATATTGTGATACGAAATAATAATTTTATCGAGAATTGCGTTTGTTGTTTTAGTCACAATTGTCGGTAACGCCCTAATATCCGCAGATATTAATCACTTAATGGAGCGGGTGATATGAGACAACAATTCAAAAGAAGGAAAGAAATATTATTTGAAGAAATAATATATCGAGATGGACAGCAAGGGGAGAAAGATTATTGTTTGCGATAATGGTACTGGGGTAAGGCTTGTTCTCTTTTTTTTTTCTGCAAAAGAATTTTCTCTGCTGATATAAGAAAAAAATGTTTCAAACTTGTCATATATTAAGCTAAATAATTTATGTCTTGAACACCGATATAGTTTTTAATTGCAGTTTGTCAAATGTGGATATGCCGGTGCAAATTTTCCAGCCCATATATTTCCATCTATTGTCGGACGACCCATAATCAGAGCTGTCAATAAAATTGGTGATATTGATGTGAAGGTATGTTGATTTATTTTGTATATATAAATTTAACATTATCAGATATAATATTGATAATGAAAAATATAAGATCAGCAATTACAATTTTGTCTTAATATAAGTGCTATGTAATTATAATAGCTATGATTTATTGACATATTATTTCTTATCAACACATTATTCTCAAATATTTAATTTTTTATGAGAAGAATATGTATATATAGGATAGGTGTGAAATTGTAGTGCAAGCGAGAACAAAGTGATTCCTCGTGCCAAAATAGGTCGGAATTGTAGAACAATTTTCTTTCGTACGAGGCTTCGTTTTTGAAATAAACAATTTTGAAAATCTATTAAGTTCACTTGACTATGTCTCGATTAACGGATCTTGCTAGACTGCTATTTCTGTTTGTGTTTATATTTGTGGATATTGACAATGTCATGGTTTGTTTAAAAAATTCACGAATCTGTAATAAAAGGAGCACAGCTTTGCATTCAACAGGGAAGCCAACAGTTTCAACAATTTCTTCAGTAAAATTAAAGTAAGAAATTAAAGGAATCATTGCCAATGTTCACAAACATAAATAGAACAGAAATAACAGTCTAAGCAAGATTCGTTAGTCGAGACATAGTCAAGTGTACGTGTATTTGATAAATTTTCAAAATCGTTTATTTCGAAAACGAAATCTCGTATGAAAAAAAATTGTACAATTTTGACTTATTGTGACATGAGGAATCACCTTGTTCTCGCTTGTACTATTACGATTTTGCACCCACCCTGTATAACAGATAATACTTATCTACACAATTATATATCCATATACAATTTTATATCCATAAATATAAAATGTTATTTTAACTATATTATAGAACTATTATAGAGTTATATGACAAAAAAACCTATATATTTATCAAAATTTATCAACAAGATTAGAAATCAAAATGTTTGATGTTGATTAAGAATTGTATATATACAATTTTTAATATAAACTTTTGATTTAAATTAGAGTGTGTTTAGAGTTACTATTTACAATTAGATATAATTAATAAGAACAATTATATTTTCAGCAAATATATTGCATTCGTGTAAGTCTATTATATAATATTACATTGCGCACATTTTCCACATAGCTTCAGAATGTTTAAATTTGATTAAAAATAATCTATGGCTGTGTTCGGAAACATCACCCGTGTGCACACGAGCGTCGTTCTATCTTTGTTATTTACTAAAAGTTGGACAAAAAACAACGCTCGTATGCACACGGGTGATGTTTCCGAACGTACCGTAGATGCTTGTTTATCGCGATATAAATAAAATAGTTTGTAAAATACTAATAATTTTCACTAACAAATCCTAAAAAGAAATAAGTATATTAAATATAAAATAAATGGGACTATTTTGTTTTGTAATATTCTTAAATGATTGCTTAAGTTCTTTATTGACATAAATAGTGTATGTGTGTTTTGAATATATCTATATAATTTATATATTTATAATATCAGTCATATGTAATTCGTACTTGTGTGAGTATATATTGTATACATGCTATGCTTTTCTATAATTATCTAATGTATTTGTGTGTTTATATTTGCTCTCATAGGATGTGCTTAACATGCCTGTAAGTTCATTGTATTTTTTTTATGCTATTTACATTTGTTATATCAGTGTTTTAATAGAGTATTACTTTGGGCTGTAGATATATATATTGGAATAGTGAGTTTTAAATAATCAGATAAACCAATTTTTCAAAAATATGTACATATTTGGGGAAGCTAATTTAATATTTAATATTTTTCAGATATAAATTCTGTAGCTTGATTTTCACACAAAGAATATACTATATAATATGCTATATTATAGTTATTATTAATCATAATATTTTAAAAAATAAAATCCTATAAATTTTTATGTATGACAATGATTAAATGTTTTTGTAAATTTTTTTTGTTTTGTTTATCTTTTGTTACAAGATTTGTTAAAATAAAGTTTGATATAGTACTAGAAATTACATGAAAAGTTTCTTTTTACTATATACAGGGTGTCCGGTAAAGATTGTGCCAACGCTCGTGAATGGCTAGAGCACAGTAAACTGAACAGAAAAGTTCTGTAACATTTTTTTCTATAACGCTTAATAAAGGAGTTATTATTGAATAAAGTCTAGCCAATTAGCGTCGACCTTTAGCCGCGCGCCTGGTAGTGTGCGTGAGCGCTCCGTCGCGACGGCGGCGCACATTATCAAGCGGGCGGCTCACCGACGTGTGTCCGGCTAAAAGTCGACGCTGATTGACCAGACTTTATTCAATAATAACTCCTTTATTAAGCGTTATATAAAAAAATGTTACAGGACTTTTCTGTTCAGTTTACTGTGCTCTACCCACTCACGAGCGTTGGCACAATCTTTACCGGACATCCTGTATAATAAAAATAAATGTATTAATTATTATTTTTTTATATATTTAGCTAATCAATTTCATACAATTATTTATAATTTTTGTTTCTTTTTCTTTCATTAATGTTGAAGGAGAAATTGTGTATTCTAGAAAATATTATATAATATAACAGTTGATGCTAAAACTAATATTTTTTCAAACAATGGACATAGTATATACATAATATGTGCAAAATTCTAATTATTATATATATTATTGTCATAGGATTTGATGGTCGGCGACGAAGCGAGTAAACTTCGTTCTATGTTAGAGATAAGTTATCCCATGCAAAACGGAATTGTTAGGTATATACTTGTATAAGATTCTTTTAACATGAATTATAACATATTTAATATGAAAATTATTGCATATATATAATTGATACTTGATAGAAATTGGGAGGATATGTGTCATGTGTGGGATTACACATTTGGCAAGGAGAAAATGAATATTAATCCTAGAGAGTGTAAAATTTTATTAACTGAGCCACCAATGAATCCTATCACGAACCGAGAGAAAATGATCGAGGTAACATCATAATACGCAATATAATAAAAACTACATTCCAAGTTATTAAAAATTAAATTTATATGATTGAGAAGTTTAGTGTTCATGTAATGATTTTAGGTGATGTTTGAAAAGTATGGTTTTGCTGGAACGTACATTGCGATTCAGGCAGTATTGACATTATATGCTCAAGGACTGATCAGCGGTGTCGTCGTAGACTCTGGTGATGGTGTTACGCATATTTGTCCCGTGTTTGAGGAATATGCTCTGCCACATTTGACTAGACGATTGGATATAGCCGGACGCGACATTACAATGTATCTAATTAAATTGCTGTTGCTACGCGGTTATGCATTTAATCACTCGGCCGATTTTGAGACAGTTAGGATGTTGAAGGAGAAATTGTGTTATATCGGTTATAATATAGAAACTGAAGAAAAGCTAGCTCTTGAAACCACTGTGTTGGTAGAATCCTATACTGTAGGTACATTATTATATACTGTGCGCATGCACACACACACACACACACACACATATACGCAGTATATAGTTTTATTAATATATTGTATACAGGATAGAGAGGGCATTTAAAATGTTATAAGATGTTTTTTCTAAAACATTCTGATGTCGTACAAGTATGAATTCGCAACGAGCAGCTACATATTTTGTCTGAAAAATAACCATGTGTTTTCTTTATGTAATAATTAATTAATTTTAATTGATTTCTCTCATTATTTTATGCATGAAGTATTGAGGTAAGATAATCGAAAAATGAATATTTTACGAAATATTTCATAGTTTAAAATTATATCAAAGTATAAAATATCTCGTAAACTATTCAATTATTGGTCATTTTACTCTTATAACTTTTTACGCCGAATATTGCGAAAAATCGATTTATGTAAAAAAAATTAGGATTCCGTTTTTCTCCCTTAAAACCCTATAAATTTTGTTTGAAATATTTTTTTTCGACATCAAGTTTAGGAGAAAACACCTTTTAACACTTTAAATGCTCTACTGTATATATAGCTAATCTCACATACAGATATACTTACATATGTATGCATTAAGGCGTACAAATTATTGTAAATATTTTTAGCTTCCCGATGGACGTGTAATAAAAGTAGGTGGTGAGAGATTTGCGGCACCGGAAGCGCTTTTTCAACCGCATTTAATTAATGTCGAAGCACAAGGTATAGCCGAGTTAGTATTTAGCACAATTCAAGCAGCTGATATCGATATCAGAAGCGAACTGTACAAGCACATTGTTCTGAGTGGTGGTAGTACGATGTATCCAGGGCTTCCATCAAGACTTGAACGAGAAATTAAGCAACTTTATCTTCAAAGAGTACTAAAAAATGATACAACTAAATTGAATGTAAGTGTATATTTGAATTTATATATAGTAAATGTACATATTGCAAATACTATATATTTTATGTGAATTTTTTTTTTTTTTTTTTTAGAAATTTAAAATAAAAATTGAAGACTCACCTCGACGTAAAGACATGGTTTTCATGGGTGGTGCTGTGCTAGCGGAAATAACAAAGGATCGAGATTCTGTGTGGATAACGCGGGAAGAATATGAAGAAAAGGGTCTCAGTGTATTAAAGAAATTAGGCTCCTACGAATCATAAAGAAAATCATTGTAATGTAGATTACAAAATTTTTAACAAATGATCAAATGTTTTTTATATCTAAAAAAAAAATATATTATTTTTGAGAGCTGATCTTACATAGAGCAGCTTTATTCAGATGATTTATTGCATAATTGTAAAAAAACGAGACATTTTAAAAAGACATCAGGTTTCTTTTGTTTTTTTAAGCATGTGATGCAATTTCAAATAAATAGATAAAATGATTTAAATACATAAAATACTATGGATCCAATAAATTTTTTTATTTAATTGTTCTTGAACTTTTATTCATATTCACATATTTATCAATATATTTCCCTTTTTAATTTTTTTTTTTTTTCTGTATTGTATATGTTTTAGACTCCAATTAAATATTAGAATAAATATTAAGCATTAATTTTTAATATAATCAAAAGACTATGTTATACTTCAAACAATTGTATTCTATGAAAATATTTGGCCAATCAGATATGAAACAACATCACATTTTACATCCGAATAAATATTAAAAATATCGATTAATTTTCGTTTTTTTGCAGAATATCTGATGATCTTATTCCTCTTTCTTTGTATTTGTCGAATTTTTCTTTAGAAAATGTAAATATCATTAAAGTTATATAATTAAATAAGTAAATAATTAAATAATATAATAAATAATAAAATAATAAATTAAATAATTAAATAAGAAAATATAATTAAAGTAAAAACTATATTATGTTCAATAGAAAATATTATCTATCTTTTCATTATGATAATATGTAATGAATTGCAAACGTAATTAATGTGCAAGTTTATATTTAAAATCGCTATTCAAGTCCCTTCAATAGCAACAATACAGAGTGAATTAAATAAATACTTAGCTTGTATTAAATACAGCATGTAGCTTGTAATTCATAATACTTCGTTCGATGAGTAAAAATTCAAGACAAAGAAATAAATAACAAAGTAGTCTTGTGATTTGGCAAAGAATTAAAGTGGTGAGAATTAATTAGATATATTAATATATTTATTATAACTTGTAAAAGAAGTTTTTAGAATGTTTGCTCGATTGATAGAAATAAGTTTATTTTATGAAGAGAATATTATTCTATGCATATGCAATCCAAAACAGTTCTTGTCATAAATAAGAAAAAAGATTAATTAATATGCGACATGATATAGAAACGATTGTTATTCTGCAATAAATCTAGAACAGTCTTTATTATATATACGTTTTTTCAAGTGATTTTTATATTGCATAGCAATGTACACACATATTTATGTATAACTAAAAATAACAATATAATCTGTAAGATACAATTCAGCATTTAATTAGATATAACATGTAACAAGATTTGTGTTTGTGTATTCAATTCTCGGTTAAGATTTGTACACACTGGATAAAATACTGTGTAACAAATAATAAGCTGTTATTGGAAGAGGAAAGGATAATCAGCAAACAGTACTAACCATGCGTACTTCATTGTAGCGCTTCATGAAGTTGCTCGTTAAGTGTATACAATTACTATATACACTCATTTATATTCTAAATAGCCTTTAATATTTATTGTAACAATTTATCTTTCCCATTCATAAGTTATATATAAGTCAATTATTTCAAGCAAATAATAAAAAGAAAAAAAGTGATACATAAAATTGTTTCACTTACGTCGTAATAGCCATTCTGCAATTCTTATAGTATGTATACTAATACAAACTGTTGTTTTTACACTAATCACGTGAAGACACTTTGAGATAGTGAATAAGGAATTGGATGGAAAACATGAAAGATTTTTTATTAATCACATTTAGAATGTGATTGGTTTGTTTTTGCACTGATCAATACAAAAATTAGTGAACCGCTTCAGGAACTTTGGATATTCTCTCTTGTAAACGGCCCGTAAAACAGATGCTGGGGCCCAACCACCTGGATTTACTAAAATTCAAATCAAAAAGTTTATTCATACAAAGAGAGAAAGAGGAAGGAGAAGATAGTGAGTAAGAAAAGCGGAAATATACATAACATTATCACATAATAGTTTGAATAAGGAACGAAAATATAGAATTATATTTTATATATATATTCAGGCTTTTAATATATTAAATACCATAGCTGGCAAGAAGAGATTGAATTAATACTCACCAACTGAACAATATGTTATTTTACATGTAATATTTTCCCTCTTTATTTGCTCTTCGTCTTTCGGGGGATCGATAAAAGTTTGACATACGAGACAAACTGTTAAATAAACTCTCACACATTTTCCTGCATTCGGCTAAAATAATAATTTCACTTAGCAACTGTGTAAACTTATTTTAAGAAATAAAACAGTTTAACAATCTAACAGTGGAATAAGTGTTCCTCAATGGGATATAAAATTGTCTCAGAGGATACTCTAACATATTATCTACTCTAACATATTATCTTTGAAAGTAACTTGTAATAGATAAATGCGTTGCACAATCTTTCAGCTTTCTATATTTCTTTGTTAAAGGACCTAGTTTGAAAAACTAAATTATTTTTTTTCCGTGATTAAATAGAGATAATGAAATAAAACAAAAAATAGATGGAGGGCTGCATCAAGTATATATTATATATTTTTTTCCACTACAAAAATAAGTAACTCATTATTGTAAAAAAAGATTATGCATTCCTTTACACAGACAGTTTTTGTAAATAACTATTATACTCGCAATAGAGTTCAGTTTGAATCATGATAATTTAATTAAATATAATTTGATTTGATATATATGTATATGTTATAGTCTGTGTCCTTCAGTTTAAAAGATAAAAGGGGATGTCTACTTATAGTGGGGCGCTCTGTATATTATTTATCACATGATCGTTATTTGTTCCAAATTCTGAGATCAGCAAAAATATTGTCTAAAATATTTTATAACAAAAATATTATTGCCGCTATAAATAATGGTAGTGATGAGGACTTTTAAGAAGAGAATATTCAGAGATATTGAAATTTATTCATAAATTATTTTTATATAAATATATCTTATTTTATGTAGTATTATTCTATTTGTACATGTAAAAATATTTAAAAAATTACCTTTAAAAATTTTTATTTTTTTATGCTCTAGAATAAAATAAATTATATAGATATATGAAAAAAATATAATATTTATTTGTTGCGCTTTGTCATCTATTTTTTTTTTTTTATTTCTAACCAATCACGAAATATAAAATAGTTTAGTTTTTAAATTCACCCTTGTAACAATTTAATGGGGAGATTTAGAAAGCTAAAAGATTGTATAATACATTTATCCATTACTTACCAGTTACACTTTCAGATAGCTTAGCTTATCTTTGAGGACAATTTTACCATACTTATCTTTTTTAGCGTATTAAGCGTATTATTTACCGGGTAATCAGGATGTTCAGTACTATGATTACAGACTATCCATAGATCGTGAGCATCACGATCCTGATCATCCGATACTCGACGTATGTGCGACCAAAATAACGCATCTCGCTGACTCGCTGGCCAGATACGTTTGTGCGTTTGCAAGAATAAAAGCGTATCCTTGGAAATGTTTTCAACGATCGTCATGTCCTCTAAAGTGGCTTCCCATCCACTTCTGTATTCGGGACTGAAAAATATTTCACAAACTTCGTGACCAGTTACTCCCTTAACGACGTGACACGCTTTGAGAGGATCTACGACTAGTCCATCAGCCTCTTCCTCCCGCCGATACATTCGCATATCACCATCTTCAGCAAATAATTGCCAACCACCTGCTCCACCCACGCCGAGTCGAGCATAATGGAGTTGCTCCATGGTGATTTTCTCTATCTGCAAATCGGCAATAAAAAATATTTTACATTTTAACATTGCATACTACTGTCATTTAATTGTCTGTTTAACTGTAACTACAATTAACTATAGTTTGCAACTGTATTTCTCAACAATTATCAAAAATATCATTTCGCATCAGTTGAAAAATTGATGAAATTCAAATATATGTAACTTTGCAAAAAATGATTATATTATAGATCAATGTTTCTGGAAGCATTTTAAAGCTTGAAGTTTCAGCTTTCAAAAACGCTGTTAAGCTCTTTTCTCTACGATAATTCTTATCCAGGTGGCATAATTCTCAAATCAATTTCGAAAAATTTAAAGAAAAAAACTTCAACTTTGAAATCATGCAAAATAATGTCAAACAGAATTTTTATTTCAGCTTTGCTGTAAAATTAAAAAAATAAAAGAATTTAGTTAAGGTTAAATGATCTTAATTTGACATATATTTTCAAGTTCATGAATCTCAGTAACTTCCAAAAGTTTTGCACCATTATTAAGCATATATTACTAAACTTTTATAATTCATCATTATGCATTCACAGAGATTTAAATATGCAAGTATATAAAATTTATTTATTTTAAACTTTGTTTTATGCGTGAAAAGTTCCAAATCTATGCATTTTATTATTTTACTTTATTTTAAAATAAATGTACATATAAAGTTGGATATATTCTGTCTTAGATTTTACTAATAAGTAAGTTCTCGATGCAACAGTAGAATTTTGATAGAGTCAGAGAATTGCACAAAATGAAAAAAAGGTATAATTACTTCAGGCCATAGCTTATGTGAAGACGCTGTTGTGGTGGGAAATGTCAAAATTGAAACAGATTTTTGTTTCAAACGATTCCTTAATTGATTCTCCTCTTCGATTTTGTCTAAACCTGTCTCGACGGCATCATAAAATTCTTCGTCGCAAAGAGCGCTATGCGGACCTTCCTTAAAAAGTTTCAAAACAAGTTTTTAAATATTATTAAAATTAATTAACAATTAATAGTATATGTATAATTTAAAAATGTATTGATGTCTTTTTCTGGATCTTAATTTATAAATAATTCATCATATTAAATGCATAGAAATTCATGCACAATTACTTTCTCTATTCTGATCGTATTTATAATCAGTTTCATTTATATAATTTACACACATACAACATGTGTAGTCCCATTTAAAAAGATATTGTTAAAATCTTAAAATATATAACATTGAGAAAAATTTTTTATTTATCATAAGATGTGTTTCTTCGAAACGAGCAATCTTTTTCTTTGACGTTTTTTCATAACAAGAAAAGCAACAAAGATATTTTAAAGGCTTATTAGGTGTATATAAGGTGATATATACTGTATGTCTTTTTTAACACTTGACACGCGATTCACGAACAAACGACTATCTAAATGTACATAATATATTATTGGCCATTTTCAAACCTTTATATCTTAAAAACTATTTCTTGAAATAAAAATGGCATGCACTTTTATCATTTAATTTTTCACAAACTTTCACACTGCAATTTTATTATTATTTTTGAATTTTAGGATACCCTGTATATTATGTTCAGAAGAATTTATCATAAATAAATAACTGTAAATATACTTATATAAATATCTTCATATGGAAATGTCCATAATGATATAAAATTGATGTAATAGTTAAAATAATTTAGAAAAAAAAAAAAAATATATTTGATTTCTCTCCTAATATATAAAAAAAATAACAAAATATTTTAAAGAGGGAAATATATAAAAAATATTTTGATAAACTCTTATTTCTTCAAAACTACTGACAAGAAATAATAAAGTCAATGACAATAGAAAAACATAAGCAGGTGTTGTATGTATATGTATATACAATATATAGCAGGAATATAATGTATATTTAAAAATTCTCTAAAATAGAAACTTTATACAATAGAAATTACATATAGCAAATAAGATTATAATAAAAAAAGAATCCACCTCATAGTCAGGACCTCCATGAATAAGAACTCTGGGTCTGGGAGAGTCGTTATGATGCATGGCAACTTGATCTTTCAGAACTTTATAAAGTTCTTGTAATTTTCGTTTTTTTTCGATTTCTTTTTCCCATCTGCGACGCCATGCATCCTCTCGCTGTATCATTAATTCAACGCAATGTTGTAAAGTTGCTAACACGCCTTCACTGGTGGCTTTAAACGTTATCGCTTCTCCTTTAAAATCCACTGATTGTTCAGCTGGATTAAACATCGTCTCAATTTTCTTTTCTGGAATTTTTGTAATACTTAATAAAATATCTTAAAGCTTTTTTTTATATCTTTCATATGATAAATGTATTATAATCATATATGTGAGTATAAATCATGAACACACATATCGAAGAACACTAGAGGAAAGATATAAAAATTGACATAGATGTCCTAAACCAACATATGTACTCTATTTCTCACTAATTGAGTACTGCAGTTTATTAAAGATAAATGCTTTCTTAAGTTAGTTTATTCATTAGAACTGCTTAGTTTTTACTCATCAGAAGCCAATAGTTTGTGTATTCATTGCTTATTTATGTTAAATTGGTTTGTGTTAAGTTTTTGAAATAAAAAAATTTTTTTTTGTAGTTTTCTTGCCAAATTATATATAATAACAAAATAGACAAATTATATAAATAACAGTACATCTTTTTTTCATAATATTAAATTATTCTGTATGCTTGTAAATTTCTAAATTATTTTATTTTTATTTTTACTCTTTTATTATTTTTCTTACAATATAATTAGGGAAACTGAATTAGAACAAGCAACATACTCTATATGCTTTATACATTGATATAATCTAACACAATTTACTTCAAAACGTCTCTTTAAAAAACATTAATTTCTGATGTGACCTGTCTTTAATACAATAGATAATTTACACAACACATTCCTTGCATTACAAATTTTAATTTATAAAAGAATGTATTTTTTTTGTTTTTAAAAATGTTTGTTTTTATAAATAAATAAATCTTAATATTTTTTTTTGCTTTAGAAAAAGATCATTTTTTCAAAAATTACATTAAAATAATCAAAATATTAAATAATTATATCATAAATATTATAATCCTCTGATAAAAATAGTTTGTATCTATAAGTACATAAAATCTTGTAAATATATATCTACAAGTATATAAATTTTTATTCCCTGAATTTTTAGCTAAATTAGGAACTAAATCTCGAAAACAAAATAATATGACAATTTTGGAGTCCTTTTTTTCTACAAACTTGTTAAACATAAAACTAAATAAAAAGATTTGTATACAAGTTAAAAATTATTACCTTTCTTGGAAGTATTCTTGACATTTTCTGCACAGTTATCAAAATATTTCTGCAAAGTATCGATCTGCTTGATCAGAATATCTCTGAAAGTTTCAATTTCGGCTAATTTTTCTTTCAGTCCTCTAATGCCACGCTTAGTAAAGCTACCGGCGCTTGTTGTTGATTGTGTATTTGACGCAAGTGAAATGGCACTACCATGTCGTTTGAGACTATTTTCACTCCCATAACCGGATTCCGACTATTTGATAAAAATATATTATTAATCGTTACATATACATAATCTTATCTTAAATACTCCAGCACAGAATATCTAGAAAACTTAACAACATAGAAATATATTTTGGACAATAGTTGTAAAGTTTTAAGAGAACAACTTATGCTCAATTTTATTCATACGAGAAGACATTCTGAGATTTGATGATTATTTTTATCTTTTTTTTTAATGAAATCATATAGTTTTTTTACATGTCGATTTTTGTATTAATTTTAAATGTAAGAATATTAAGATAGAAATATTAAAAAATAAATTATTGTATAATAATTTATAGGTAAAGATGAATTAATTGATATAAAAAATACAGCATTTAAAAACAGATATGAATGTTGCAAGTGTAATAACGCATTTATATAAAAATATAATCAGCAATCAATTTTACTCGTCACTCTATGAAAAATTTAGAAGATATTACAGTAAAAGAATAAATATCTTATAAAATATTGCATATTTAAAATCACAATGTGCAATGTGCACATTAAATTATAAAATATTTTGTAAACTATTTAATATTTTCATATATAGAATGACTATTTTTATTTGTAAAATGATGAAAAGGGGGGGAGAGAGAGAGAACAAAACCATATTAATTATTAATATTTCTCTCAAAATCATAGAACTCTTGTCTAAAACTTTTTTTTTCAATATTTTTTGTTTTTTTTAAGTATTTTGTTGGACCATTAAAAATCAACACATGTGCAATTTAATTCTAACTTTAAAGTAATATCTTAATTGTAATTTGTAAATACTGACTAAATTTAAGAAAAATATGTATATGTATATAAAATAAAAAGAATTATAAGGGATTTAATATACAAAGTCTAACATATATATTACAAAAAAAGATTTTTTATATATATAAAATGTATAAGATTTTTCCAGGCTCCTCGGAAGGTTCGTGTATATTGGGTTGTCTAGATTGTAAGATTCGACATATGCTATGACCATGTAATACGATTTACTCAATTACTGAAAATGACCAGAAGTGGGATCGAAATAATGTTTAAATATCAATTAATTTTTCTAAAATTATCTCTTTGCTATTTTCGTGTTTATGACTTTGCGTTCGGCTCTTATTAGTTCATTTATTTAATTTATTTGTAATATCTAGAGTTGTATCATTTCTATTATAATAAATAAATAAAATAAATATATATCATAATATTTAAAATAATTACCTTGTAAGACTTTAAAACATCTACCCATCGCTGTTTTTCCTCTGGACTACTTGCCCTTAAATACCAAACTAAGCAGTCATTTACAGACACATCAAATCTGCATTCGTCAAATTGATGTGCCTAGTAAAACAAATTACTTAGTACAAATTCAATAATTTAATAATTATAAACCACAACTATACACACATTAATAAACAGTTGATAAAAAAGAAAAAAAGAAAGAAAGGAAAAACTATCACATGTGCAATCTTTTACCTTGATATTAGCTTTGTACAGACTAATCGACCCACGACATCCAAATCCGCTGTCCTGCTCAGATTTGTAATAAGACAAAGTACCATCTTTGAGTACAATAAATCTAGTTTGCCAGCCATGTATGTAATTTGTCCATTTGGATAATGTACCCTGAAGTTCCGGAACTACGACCCCATCGGAATCCTCGTCGTCATCGTCCATCTCGGCATCTACGATACACTCGGTGTCCTCGTTATTGAGGCCCCGTAACGTTTCCGTCACTTCATCGGCCATTCTTATCTATGCCAATTACACGATATCGCTCACGATTCACGTTTATTTACGAATATGCTTCTTGACATTGCTAAGAAGGAAGCGAAGAATCGAAGCTACAGTTGTAGTAACCACGTGAGATATTTCACTGCAGTTACGTCAACGATGATCAGTAAATGATCGCAAATGAAATAAAACGTCTCAAAACATAGTTTCCGATGACAATTTTTCCACATAACCTATACGTAAAACATCTCTTATCAAACATAATATCAACTTGTTTTTTATAGGCTGCGTTTCGATATTCGTTGCCAGTACTGAAAATCTATATAGCGTTTTCGAATAAACGGGTTAACCCAATCCGGTTCGAAACCTATTCCGCTAGAAACTACTGAAAACGGAACGAAATTGCGGAACGTTCGTGATTGGTTCCGCTCTTGTTCCGCGTTACGCTATTCCGCTGCATGGGTTCGCACCCTAAGGCCGGATTTACACCTTGACAGAAAAGCAGAAAGCAGAAAAGCAGAGGCCAATCAGAACTCGCAGGATGTACTGCTTATTTTCAGCGCGAGTTCTGATTGGCTTCTGCTTTTCTAGCACGAGTTCTGATTGGCTTCTGTTTTTCTGCTTTTCTGCCGCCATTACATGGAGCGCGGAAACGCGGAAACGCGGAAGAGAATAGTAACCAGATTCCCACGTTCCGTTCCGTCTGTTTTGATTGCCTTGTATTACGTTGAGTACTTTATGAATTTCTTTTGATAACATATTGCTCACTGGGAATTCTCTTCCGCATTTCCGCGTTTTCGCGCTCCATGTAATGGCACCCTTACGCTAATCCGCGTTTCCGCGCTCCATATAATAGCACCCTCTAAGACGCTCTCATTTCTCTTCCCTCTATCGTTATCACCTCCGCCATTGAAGTGGAAAAAATAAAAAACGCTCCTATCCCCCAGATCGTCTTCTTCGATACATACAAACACCTAATCACCTCTTCCAGGTCCTTTTTTACAGACGCCTCTAAAAACGACTCGGATGAGCAGGTGGGCTTCGCCATATACTCTCCCTCTCCTCACTTGCAACTTTTATTCAAATCCACTCAAATCCAAAAAGTCTTCTCCCGGTATGGATCAGATCGATTACCATATCTGATCCAACCTCCCGGAGGAATACTATCCCGTTTTTTATACTGATCTCCCCCTAGATCAGAAGTGGCCATTCAATAGTAAAGAAGAAGAAGAAGAAGTGGAACGCGCCCTCTGAGGTGCATACGATCTAATGAACCTAACCTAATATAACCCAAATAACCTAACTTTCTGTATACACGCGCTTATTGTATGAGCTTAATGTCAACATTTCACTTCTCTAACGAAAAAAAGCTTTTAATTGTAGAAAAACATGAAGCTTCTTACACATAATATGTTAACGTCCAGGGCTATAAGAGGTGTGACAATCGGCTATCCTCTGAGAATTATTGTAAGTTATTTTTTTATTGTATTTAAAAAAAGCATCTTCCAATTTACGCTCGCGAAAAGTCGATCTCAGTATGGTATAGATATTTAAAATATATATTTGATTATTAAAAGCGAGAGAGAGAGAGAGAGAGAGAGAGAAAGAGCGAGAGAGAGAGAGAGAGAGAGAGAGAGAGAGAGAGAGAGAGAGAGAGAGAGAGAGAGAGAGAGAGAGAGAAAGAGCGAGAGAGAGAGAGAGAAAGAGCGAGAGAGAGAGAGAGAGAGAAAGAGCGAGAGAGAGAGAAGTTGTAAGCTCTGTATTGGATGTAATACTCTAGAAAAAAAGGTAAACAAAATAGAATATTATTTTATTAATGTTTCAGCTCTGATTTATAACTCTGGTTTTAACTACATGGTTAAAATTGATGTTTTAACTTTAACTTTTCACGTTTCAATTCTGTCATATTATATATGTAAAAAAACAACATAAATATTCAACTGGCCAGATATATAAACAATATTATTTAAAAACTTAAAAAGATAGCATAATATAAAAATGTTTCAATTTTATTATTTAGATCAAATTAAATTGTTATTTATCTTTAGAAACATAAACATTGTTGTTGCTTGATAGAATGTAAACAACAAGGTTAAGACAAGGTTTCTAATGTGTATTAAATCTTTGTATTTGTGATAAGTATGCTCTCGCTTTCTCTCTCTCTCCCTCCTTCTTCTCTCTTCCCCCTCCCTCCCTCCCTCTTTCTAATAACAATTTTATATATATATATATTTATAATTCCTTTATTTATTATATCATTTTTGTTGTTGATTAATTATTTTCAAGTCATTCCCTTTTCTTTCTTCTAATTTTTTATAAAACAAAGGATTCAAACATCAATACAAATGTGTTATGTGGCTTAATTAGTGTCTGTTATAAAATTGCAAACAATAATGCAAAATAAAATATTTTAAAACTTATCTACTTTTGTATGTACTTTAAAACATACATATTCTCTATAACATTCACTTTAACTTAAAAATACTATCTTTAATGTTATTAGAATAATTATAATTTTTATTGTAATTAAAATAATAATTTTTATTATTATAAATATATATAATTATATTAATTATCGTCGAGTAGAAATAAAATATGTCAATCTGGTAGCTGACAAGTATAACCAATATTACTGTCATATATTTATTTATTTATGTGTTTTCATCATGAGATTACCACACAAATGTTTCACGAAAAAAAATATTTGTAATTTGTAGGCCAAAGACATCAGAGTATCCGAAGTAGATTTTAATCCAGAATATATCGCTAGGATAATACCAAAGTTAGATTGGACAGTGTTGTGGAAAGCTGCAGAGAGTGTAAATTTACCTTCTCTTATATTTACATACAGTCCTTTAGCAAATATACATATGCACATACATGCATATAAAAGAACATTGGATAAAATGTTTGCTAATATATTGACATATGTTTTATTACAGATAGGACATGTTGGCGAATTACCTCAGATTTTAATAGAAGATTTCGAGACAAATGAAGATTTTCTAAAAAAAGTTCACCATGTTCTGTTGGAGGTCGAAGTTATAAATGGAGATCTATTGTGCCCAGAATCCGGTAGAAAATTTCCCATCAATGATGGCATTCCAAACATGCTTCTAAACGAAGATGAAGTTTAAATAACAGAACTAAATAATTTCTGCGAATATTATTTGTCACTTTTTCTTAATCACTTTCTTTAAATATAATTATTAAAAATATATATCTCTCTCTATCTAAATATGTTATGTACATTTTTATATTAGTTTAATTTTTTTATTTGCTCTCTTATATTAATATAAAATCGTTAATAGTTGAAAACAAATATTAAATATATCTTTTGTGTATGTGCTTGTGTAAATATATTAAATGTACATATTTACATATATGCATAAAAAACAAAGAGTTTTTATAAGTTCGAATAACTTCAAAATAAACTCATTTAGCTAGAAGAAGAATATATAAACATAAAATGCATAACATTCTGCTTTTTAAACCTCTTGGTTTCATTGCAGTTATATTGAATTATGATATAAAATATATATAAAAATGAAAAATTTTTATATGAATTCTTTTTGGTGTGTAATACATTGAAACAAATTAATTTTTTTTGTATTCCCTCACTCACCTTTTTTTATAAATAATAAAAAAAGGCGTTTTCGAATTTGTCCTAAACTTTTCTTAGAAGGTAAATAGAAAAATGAATTTGTAGCTACATCTTAAAATATTAGAAGGAAAAAAATCAATTGCAAACATGCATGATCTAAATATACCAGTTGAGATTTAAATTACATTATCGAATGTATAATTTGATTACAGATATTTTATTGCACAGATGTCTAAAGACAATAAGATTAAACTTGTATTATTTGCAGTACTTAATATATAACAGCTTTCATTTACATCATCTTTATATTGCTACTCGTAGATAATTTGCTCTAATATTTTCTACTCCATTATCAAAGTAAACTTCTATGAATGTAACATTTTGATACAATGATATTCTCACAACTATAAAGCATAGCAAACAATTCTAGTAATATTACAGCGAAATATATTAAAGTATAAATGGAATAAAATACAAGTATGTCATATATATTCTTGGATATTAGATTAATATTAGCGATACACGAAATATATTTATACACATAAGTATAACACAATTATCTCTTAAAATTAATGGATTAAATTTATATTATTAAGCAGATTATTTGTATGTTATGTGCAAGGAATATAATATCAAGAGACACGGTAGTGTCACGCGTTTTATTAATACAAGAACATATATATATTTTTGAGATTAATTTTATAAGATGCATACATAGTATAGCACAAAATATGGCATTTATGCATAAAATCTTTTATAAAATTTAATTTGTTGTGTGTGAAATAAATGTTAGAAACCCGATTTCTGCTAATTAATTTTTTTTTATAGGACAACATTTATGAATTGAAATTCTCATAAAATGAATTATGAATTAAGATACCTCTTAAAATATATTATAAAAATGTAATCATTACTATTCTTTTTCTAGAATAAAACATTTTGAATGCACAAATCTCTCTATGATGTTATTAAATAATCTTTCTTTATGAAACAATATTTACATAAATAAATATATTTCAAAAGGTACTTTTACAATAATTAAAAATGATTGATATTGTCAAAAAACATGTAGAATTTATGCCAAAGATTTGTATATATTAGTCTTCTATGCCAATAGCAACCCTTAAAATATAGCCAAAATATATTACTTTGTTCCTTGTGATTTATTTTTAAGAGTCAAAAAGCTATAAAAATAGCTCTAACATTTCAGCCACAGCCCATCTATTATTAATCTTTTTATCTTTAAGTATCGATGAAGATTGGATTATTCTTGAATTGAGCTATGAAAATATTTTTATACAATAAATTTTTACTACAGCATATATAAATATTAATATTCTTATTATAGTTTATTATTAGAAACCCCTCCCCTACTTTTTAGTTACGGCCTGTTCTGCATATTAATCTATGGAAATTTTGTTCCTTTAGAGATATGCTAGTTTTTTTTACTACATCTCCATTTATTCTTTTTTTATACTGCGAGCTTATAAAATATATTCTTAAATATATAATAATAAATATCCATATATTCAATGGAACTTTTTTCATATATATCTATGCTTCATGAAAATATAGTTTAATACTGTATTTCGTTTAATACTGTTTGCATTCAAATTTTACTAAAAATTGTCTCTCAGTCTGAATATGACTTATTATATATAGTTATAGTTAAAAAAAATGCATATGTACCAATAAGAAATTTATCAATATTAAAATATATATTATATATATACATATAT